ACCTGCCGATATATCAGAAGTTTATATGAATTCCGGTAAATCCTTATACCCCATAACGCCACCTGCCGATATATCAGAAGTTTATATGAATTCCGGTAAATCCTTATACCCCATACCGCCACCTGCCGATATATCAGAAGTTTCTATGAATGCATATAAATCGTTAGACCCCCATAACGCCACCTGCCGATATATAAGAGGTTTATATGAATGCCGGTAAATCCTTATACCCCCATAACGCCACCTGCCGATATATTAGAAGTTTCTGATATATTACATGTTATATAAGTATTTTTATAACAATTCTTTATTTGTAATTAAGGCCCGGCATGGCCAGGTGGTTAAGCCACTCGACTCGCAATCTGAGGGTCGCGGGTTCGAATCCACGTTATACCAAACATGCTCGCCCTTTCAGCCGTAGGGGCGTTATAATGTGACGGTCAATCCCACTATTCGTTGGCAAAAGAGTGGCCCAAGAGTTGGCGGTAGGTTGTGATGACTAGCTGCCCTCCCTCTAGTCTTACACTGCTAAATTAGAGACGGCTAGCGCAGATAGCCCTCGTGTAGCTTTGCGCAAAATTCAAAAATAAACAAAAAAAAAACAATTTGTAATTAAGCACAAAGCTACACAATGGGCTATCTGTGCTCTGGCCACTACGGGTATCGAAACCCGGATTCTAGCGTTGTAAGTCCGCAGACATACCTCTGTGCCCCTGGGAGGACAGTTTTTAATTATAAGCTTTAATAAATCGTGTTTTGACATAGAAGTAGCCCACATAAGTTCATTAATTAATATAACTTATTTATTGTATTCATCCTATTTATTGACATCATCATGTAAACATTTAGAGATATAAAGTTTTGAGTTAGAACACATTTATATTACAGTAAAATAATAGACATCAAAAATTCTCTTCCTGCTTTAAATATATATAAAAAAGGCGTAACTACATAATAATAATAAATATATTTATGGACAAAATATAATTATTAACAGCACCAGGTTTCGTTACATATCCTAAAACCTGGCATGAAGTCAGACTGTGCTGAATCTGTCAATAGAAGTACTCGATATAATAGGTGTATATAATAGGTGTAATAGGTGTATCGTTCTCCTCATAGTATGGATTCACATT